GGGAGTCCTAAAGAAATATGTCTGTAACCACGCTAGGCCAGAAGGAAGCATCTTCATGGGCCATCAAACAGAGGATGTCATTGGGTTTTGTGTTGACTTCATTCCTAGCCTTAAGAAGATTGGTCTCCCTAAATCGTGGTATGAGGGGAGACTGACTGGAAAAGGCACGCTACGAGGGGACTCAATAATATGCAGGGACAGGCATTCTTGGTCCGAGCAGCCCGCCTCGTCAGCAAAAGCGGAAGACAGCCGCCGCCGCTCCGGCTGCTCCAGCGCGTCGTAGCACTCCGCCTCCTTCTTCTCCGCCTCATAAGCAACGAAAGAAGACAGCCACAGCCGCTCCGGCTGCTCCGGCGTCTAGCAGTACAGCCAGAGGCGGGAGGCAATACAGATTCGGTCCATCTCTCAAGCCTTAGAGAGGTTACCATACGAGATGACCGAGGAGGAAAACGCGAAGATCTGTGCTGACCAAGTGAAGGACTTCTTTGAAACGCAAAGAGCTAAGAAACATCCACCTCCAGAGGAGAAGATAGATAAGGTGAAAGTTCAGCGCACTTTGGATGCCCTAAAGCGACCACCACCATCTCCGTCGAAAACCAACTATGAGCGCATAATTGAAAGGTCATATATCGAAGCGGAGCGGTCAGGAAGTACTTACAGTGATCAAAGGAGTAGAACGAAGAAGTGGGAAAACAATTCCCCAGCTCGGCGAACAAGCTAACCAATCGTGCCCCCCGCTCAAGGTGTCTAGCGATATCGTTGCTAATCATCCGAGGATGCTGCCCGGTACCAATCCTGGAGATTACCTGCCTGACGATGCATATTTTGATACAATGGAGGTGGACGATTTCAAATACCGGCACGGGAAGCCTCTTGTCAAACCTGGTCATCCTCCTCTAACAACGATGATGCGAAAATTCCATGACTGGTACATGAAAACCTGCAGCGAGTCTGGGCAGGATACTTTGACTTTGAGAGTTAAAGAGGAGCACGACCTCGTTGGAATTGATCTGTTGTCTATTCCATTTGAGGAGTTTTTCCAGTTTTTCAATCAAAAAGCCCTTGATAAAATAATTGTCACTTGCCACTATTTGTAGGTACTACTTTTGTAATTAAGTCTCTATATATAGCTCAGCTCTTTCATTGCATGTATATATAATTATCCTCACTATATTATGCAGATTGAATATCGTCGAATGCAGAAAGGTAGAAATCTATGATATTGGGTTCATTAACACAGATATCGTAGATGAATGGACGGTTAAACATGATGCCAAAGAAGTCGAGGCCAACTTGCTAAAATCGTTGCTTCAAAATCAAAACAAAGATAAAATACTTTTTCATTACAACTTCAAGTGAGTGTTACTGTCTTATACATATTCGGTTTCCAGTATTACTCGAGGTTATAGTAATGTAATTGATGAGTTATGAATGCGTGCGCAGCTTCCACTTTATTCTCTTAGAGATTAAGCTTGAGCAGGGACTAGTAACCGTCTTAGACTCGAGACGAAAAAATCCCGAGGACTATGCGGACATGACTAAAATGCTCGAGAAGTAAGTTCAATCGATCATTATCGCACCATATCCACAACTTTGTTCATTTCCTAATATGAAGTAATTGTTTTCTTTGTCCCGCCGGGTTTGGAAAGTATTCACCGCACAAGCTCTAGGACTGTCGGGGGAGCTGCGATTTACACACCCGAAAGTAAGTACTACTAGCTAGCTAGTTCCGCGCATCTCCCGTTGATTCTAGCTACTTTCATCAATACCATTTATAATGCTTCATTATCAGTTTGATTGACCTCTATTTCTCGTAAAGTGCTTGTGGCAGGAAGCCAAGAATAATTATTGTGGATACTACGTTTGCGAGTTCATCTACAACGCGACTTGCAAAAATAACCGGGGCTACTCTAAAAGACAATTTGAAGTGCGTAAGCAATAATATTCACAATTTCATTTTATTATACCATCATTTGTGTTGAGTTTCATCCATATATATGTATTGACCCCCTTCTTCAAATTAAACATGGCAGATGTGGGATGAACTCCTACCACAAGATCGTATACGAGCAATTTAAGAGGAATTGACGGGATTCTTTCTTGACCACGTCATCAGTAAAGCCGGAGAATACCATGTGGAACTTGAGTTCAGAAGTTAGGGGATTGTAAGAGATCTTAATATTCTATATATGTAGCCAGTAGCGTCGGATAGATATACGAAAACTTGTTGTTCGACCAATCTCTCGGAGAAGGAGAGGTCGATCACTTCTCTCTGTATATGTTCATGACGATCTTCTGTACTTAATGGTTTCCTTCATTTGCTTACTAACTAGCGTGTCGAGTCCTTTCTATACGTATAGTACGTAGCGTCGACCAAGCACGGAGATAAGAGAGGACACTTCTCTCTATTAGCGAGCTAACACAATTAATATATGA